CTTGTGCTTGAAAGTAAACATCTGCAATCACTGCCGTGGCCAATGGGTGACTACCTTTTGAAAATAAGCTTTGCGGTAAACAACGATTGGAAAGTTACAGTTAAATCATATATACAAGTCACTGAGGAGTAAAATATTATTTCTATGTAATGTTCAAAACTTCAATAAATTTATGAGGCAAATTTTTGATTAAAATGTAGTCCTGATCAAGAATAGAGTTTTAAAAATGGCAACCATGATCAGTGATGTTCAGAGAGAAAATTTACTTTGTGCGCATCCATATAAATAGGTGTGATAGCTCTGAACAGTTCTACCCGCCGGCGATGTTTTCAACATCACTAATTTTAGTGAAGATCTGCAGATCTTGTACATGAAGAAGGGTCCGACTTGTTTTTCTAAAAGATCAGGTTAGCTTGAGCACAATCTCCTAGCAAATCGCACATACATTCACATGATGCCGGAGACTTTAATCGATTATGGTTTCGTTTAGGCAAAGAACGCAGTCTTAAGAGGACCCTTCTGTCGGTCGTTTGGTATGTACTAAAAGGGTTAGAGAGAGAACAAGAATACATATTTGTATGCTTTCTTTGCAAAGTTTTGATTTCTAAGCCGTCGAGCAACTTAAAACGTATGATTGAGGCGTTTCGCAGCAGCAGGGTCATAAATTTTTGATGCCTAGCCAATCTTACATGTCTGGGCGCTACGAGGTGTCGTATTCTTTGAGAGGTGACCCCGCTTTTGCCAAATTCTATTAATTCAGCCTTGGAGTGTATCGTATTACCCGCTTCCACTAATTCGGAATTTAATGCGTTTCCTTGCCTAATGAATGGTTTTAAATCGATGGCTTTCTGACGGATACAGTGTCCCCTCCTATGGCACGATGCTCCACCGTTGTGTACTGTTTCTTTCCCTCTACCTTTTATCTGTTTTTGGGTATCGGATGGTCTGGATAAAAATAAAAACAACAAGAGTAACCGTTAAGATCTTCATATATTTTTTGATTTTTATTTTTTCGATCATAAAAGTTTTAAATTGGTTATAAAAACAGTCTCAATCATAATGGTTGAAAATAACCGAAAAAAGTTAAAATCCAAAATAGCAATTATTTTTGATCGAAAAATAACAAAAATCACAAAATAACAATTAAATTTTTCCGAAAAAATCAATGTGAATTCATATTAGGTGATATCGATTCAACAAATACAAAATTTACCAGAATTTGGTTTTTGCTTTTAGGCGACAGAAAATACAAACACTCTCCCGTTTTCACTCACTAACGAAAAACAGCTGATTCACAGCTGATGAAACAACACCATCTTACATGAATTTTCTTTGGGGAAAAATAAAAATGCAACTTTAGCAATTATTCTTGATCGAAAAAAAATAAAAATCTAAGAATAACAATTTTGAAATATTTCGGCCATTCACACCTGACCTCTTCTCAGGTTAAGTATATGGTTTTATGGTTATAGTTTCATCTCACTTTACAAAAACAAAATGCACTACCCCTTTCCCTGCATTTGTACAATATATTGTACATTTAATATTTTGTAACATTGGAAGCGTGCTACTAAAAATCTTATTAATATTTTTGAATTCCAGTGACACGCAAGTTGTGGTAATTTACTGTAAAAAAAATACGTGAAAGTCAAGTAAAATCGCTAATAAAAGCACATAGTATGGAAATATAAAAAAGCATTTCATCATATAAAAATGCTAAAATTAAACTATCATGATTTAAAATATTTTTCCCGAGGTATTAAAAAAATGTACAATATATTGTACACTTACACTGAAAGGTTGTAAGTGTCTTGTCCAATATACTGTACAAACGTCCGCAAAGGTTGCAGTTGAACAGGCAATTAGGGAGGTTTTTGAAGAGCTTGTGCGCTGTTGTTGCAGTAACTGGTAGGTTTTTGATTTTTTGATCTACTGAAGGCAGAAAAACCGGGAAGGTTTATTAAAACGGGTCATTTGTATTTTAAATTGTAATTGTATCTGAAATTTTTCAAAATTTCTTTATATAATTCTCTTCTCATGGAGAAAAAAAAATTTTTAATGCAAACTTAACTAAAGATACTTAAAAAGATATAAGATATAACATATCTGCAGTAAAATCAATTATTTTGTACATACATAAGTTCATTTTCAATGAAATAAAAGTTTTGTTCCGTCAAACTAAGTGAAATATTTACTGAGTTTTCTTGAGTGCTTTTACTCCTTTGCGGACTTTTGTACAATATATTGCACAAATTTGAGGTAGCCCTAATAGCTACCCAAAACAACTTTTGAATATTTTTTTTACTTTTGGTATTATAAGGCTCTATGAACCTTGTAATTAAGAGGAAAAATTTTTGTATTCATCAGGGACGGAGAGAATAATAACTTTTAACCTGATAATCAGACAGGTGTGAATACCCTCAATTATGAAAATAAAAATTATGTTTAACGATTATTTTCGGTCCCTACTCAGAATGACACTGGACATGTCGAGAAATAGTCAACGCCCGATACGATACAAGAACATTATCGATGATTCCATGGCGACTAGTAAGACCGAACACAATATATCGGTCATTCATTCAGGCTGGAGGAAAGAGTAAACAACTACCAATAAAATCGAATTTGGGAGAAATTATTGTCTGGGGAACCTGACAAGAGTTAAACTCCCGACTGTAACTCCCATCTGGTAAATATGTTGCGGACGGCACACCTCCCAAGGATGGTAGCCGATTTGAAGCCATTCAGCCGCTCGCTCATTAGGGATGGGTAGTGGGGAGTTGAAATTCGATTTTTTCGAGTTTAGAACATTGCTTATCCATTCGATGACATTGGTGGTGCAAGTTTTTCGAATTTTCAACATTTTTTTACTGAAAATTTAAAGGTTTGTTGGTAATGGGTCATTCCATTGAAAAGAGGAAAGCGACATAAATGTAAATATGCCCTAGTTATCTCTATTTCAGTAGTAACCTCTTTTTAATTTTTAGTCTATGGAAACTTTTATTTCATGCATAATTAATTTACACCGGTCACAAGGAGATGTCCCACGAGCCACAACTTTAAATATTTTTTAACATTTCTATGAAGATTATATAAGCCTAATTTCTATTGAAAACGAAAGCGTATAATTCATTTTTCACAACACAAATACATCGTTCGTGAAAATTAAGTGTTTTGGCTAAAATTCATCTTTGAGTGCACAAGGGTAAAATAGAGTTCTTTTCAGTGTCCCACTAGTCACATTCATTTTAATGATAGTTAATAAAACTAAGAAATCGTTTGGAATTTTCGTTAAAGCAATTTTATACATTAGTTATCGTTATATGTTAAAAAATATCTTTCCCTTTCGTATAAGTTCCGACGACACAGTCAAAATTCACAATTGATCACATTCTGGAGTAAATGGAATGGCCCTAATAATAATAACTCAAATCGAAAAAGAGATTCGATTGAACTTACATTAATGTTATTAATTATCCATATTGCTCTTCTTAGCTTCACAACCAAAAATAAATAAAATTAAGAAACAAATTTTTTTTTTGAAATAAATATCAGAAACAAATCCAAAAATTTATCAAATAAATATATTATGTATCAATAAAAAAATAACAAAATATATATTGAAACAAACTTTTAGGAACGTGTAATGTGCTTTTATTTATTTTTCATGCTATACAAAAACTAAAGGATAAAGGATACATAGTATAAAGGAAAGCCGAGTTTCCTGCGCTAATCTCGAAAACTAAAGGACATTCAAATAAATACAGAAAATAAAATTAAAACAATCTCAATTTGATACGCTTACACGGATACGCTTAGATGACACGGAGAGTAATCGTTTCTAAGTTTCTAGGTATGTCAAGTCAAGTCTAAGGGCTGGTTTCTCCAACTCAACTTATCTTAGTTTAGCCATTTTTTGGACTTAAAAGTAAGCCTACTTTTTACACAGCTTATTCTTGACCAAGTCTAAAAAAATTTGCTAAACTAAGTTGAGTTGAATTGGAGAAACCAGCCCTAAGTCTTGCTGCTACCTGTTAAAAAATTAAAAGATTTTCACCCCTCGTTGGATTACTGTGAAAAGTCATGGCCTTCGCATGTTCAAAACCTTTAATTTTTTTTAGTAGGGTTGCCACCTATTTAAAAGTTCCTAATTTATCTATACATAGTATACGGGAAAGTAGAGATTCCTTAAATGCGCTAACATCGAAAACTATTAAACGAATTTGGACGAGATTTTCTCTAATATATTCTGTATAGATAGAATTTAGAATTTTTATAGGGTTGCCACCTGTCTTAAAAATTATAAGATATGCAAAGTTCGTTGGATTACAAAAAATTAGGTGTCAAATGAAAGAGAAAGGCCTCTTAATAAGCATAAATGCTTTATTTTTTTGAGTAGGGTTGCCACCTGCTTAGAAAATTACTATATTCAATCTTTATAAACGAAGCAGCTCTGCACCGTCACTGTCAAACGAAAAGACTTAGCCTCTATCTTCACTGTTCGTTGGATAACAAAATAAGATAGCCAATTAAAGGGCATGGCCTTCTGAAGTACAACAGCTTTTATTTTTTTCAAGTGGGGTTGCCACCTACTTAAAAACTCGTATTTTATCCTAGCATAGCATAAAGCAAAGTCGAGATTTTTTGACCACGCCTGTCGCTAATGTGCGGCCGCTGTGGTGTAGTGGTTGGCAGTGCGCGGTACCAGGGCCTGGGTTCAAGCCCGGTTCAACTCAACATAAAAGCATAAAAAAAACAAAAAAAAAACAGCTTCCCATAAAAATACAATCTGTTTGGGTTGTACTTTAAACGACGTTACACAAGTCATTAGGATTTAGAGTGAACGGACCAACTGGGCTATGAAAATTTTCGCTACCAGTTGAAATAGCTAGAAGAAGAAAAATTCTAAGTTTAACTTAGGTTACTTTTTATTAAAACTTTTTTCGAAAGGAAATCGTTTTTTCTTACTGCTTGCATTCGGCGATTTTCAACCCATCCGATTATTCGGTCAGCGTAACAAATACTTTTACAAAAATTAGCCATTTGTTGCGTGCAGCGAAATTTAATTGCACCATATAATCGCCTTTGGGATATGGCAGTAGCATCAATACACCATCTGGCATCACAAAATTCTTCAAAATGACATCGTGCTGTAAGAGAAATATGAAATTCAACGAAATTATTACTTAGTACTTAGTAAATGGCCTTACATCATAAGGACACGTATGATTCAAATTGCTATTCCGTTCCAAAAATCTGAAGAATATATGCAAGACAGGATTGCGTTGTGGATTCCTTTTGAAGTCACAAAAGTCCACAGTAAAATTATACATAAAGGGTGTGTAACCGTTAGTTTTGCGAAACAACTCCGCTCTGACCTGAAAGAAGATGAAAATAAAGGAAACGGCGAAGAATTGAATTATCACGCAGATTATAGTAACTCACATAGTATTTTATAATCATATCGATCATACAGTGCTATGCTTTATAATTGCGCGATTATAATTTGCTTACCGTCACATTGTCTGCCTTTTGTTTGACATTTAAATATATATTCAACTCACTAAATCCACGTTTTAATAGCTTTAATTCGCATTGCTTGAATTCACAAAGAGTCTTATTTTCCGAGTGGCATTGCACATTTGTGAAAACAATTTGAGTTGCGTGCACAAATGGAATCCGTCGTTCATGATTTGTCCAAAGCACGCCGTTGCCAAAAACCAGCAAAATATAACAGTACAGTGTTTTGGCGTACATGCCTACTTCGACTGAAAAAATGTTTGAAGTCAATTTTCATATTGGCATTTAAAAACTGTAATTGTTGTAGAACTAATAATTACGAGTATATTGTGCATTCACTGCGACTACGTTAGTTTGGTGCCCAATAAACTATTATGATTATCGTGCTCTGAGGTTCACTTCACAGAGTTGTACGAAATTTGTTGTAAGCGCGGAGATTATTACTGTAGCTTCGTTGCGAACATTTTGCTTTCTAAAAATTCTAAGTATTCACAGTTATTAGAGATATGTAAGAACTATCAATTTGAAGCGAAAACTTCGGCCCAAAACTGTTACACTTGTAGGTAGAGCATTACTATTAATTAAAATGAACTTTATTTAAGTTTTAGTTAATTGTTTTCGATAAAAATCTCACTGTCCTAAATTATTAAATTATAATTCAAAGCAACGAAAAGACATTAGTGCCTAATTTTGGGTATGGCGCGCATTCGCACCCAACGTACATGTGGTATTTTGAGATGGGGACTTTTCACTACAACTTTTTTTTTCAAAATAAATAGTAGCAACATTTTTTTCCATAAATTATCATTTGTCAAACTATTTACTATTAGTCCGGTCAAGTTAAATTTTCAAGGTTGCAATAATTCGCATAAAGCTGAAAATTGGTGTGAATGTAACGAACACCACTATAAATGAGATGTGAAAAGTCCTAATTGATCCCAGATCTGTAAAAAAAAATTTCAATGTCAAATGTCACATAAATTTATTTTTTCCATTTTTCAGCTAAACGGTAAGGTTTATCATAAAAATAGGTTAGACAAAAGTGTAAATCATGCAATTATCTTTAAAAACCGTTATGACACTTTTGTTCTTAGAATCACCAATTCTGGGATACAACTATCGACATCCATATTGTAATAATTCATTTAACTCATTAAATACTTCGAATTTAAGTTAATTTCTTGACAGGTGGTAGTATAAAAAATTTAGTTTGTATGAAACTAGGATTCTTATTTTGAAGAAGTAAAGAAGGACTATCACAAGACAATTCACGATTTTTATAAAATACGCGAAATTCAGTTACAGTTGTGAGCAGCCTTTTTTCTCACATTTGGTAACTGGCTCATTTGTTTAATACCTGTCATAGTGACATAGAGGAAAACTGTATTACAGATAAATTTGCAAGGAAAGGCTCAACCAAGCAGATTCTTCCTTCTAAAGAACGGATTGGTATGCCATATATTACTTGCAAACTGGTATTTAGAGAATTTGTATACAAACAAGCTGGCGAAAGATGGAGACAAAGTACGACTTGTGGAATAACTAGGCAGACGTAGTCTATAGGGGATCGGAAATGGTCACAAAGCGTATACTCTCTGAGAAGAGAGGACATATCTAACGTTGTGGAAGCTCTAACCGGACACTGTCGAATAGCAAACATGATGAAAGGCGCGGCGTGCCTTTCCGAAGATATTGCAGAAGCAGTATGAACTACGAAGAGGAGGAAACGGTCTTTATCTCCTGTGTAAATGTTCCGCACTTTGAAGAAGCAGAACCGAAAGACGATTCCGAATTAGCAGAATTACGGGCAACGAGAACAGGATACCCCAGAGATTTCTTTGGCCTATTCTTGGGTACACCCCTTTGGGGAGTATCGCGGTGGCTGTAGTTTAACACCCAAATTCAGGTGACCTTGGTTGTTTCGATGTGGAGTTGTACGAATGGAATTAGACTGTGGTAATACCATGGGTCTTATATCTATCAGGCAGCAGCCACTCCTACCTGCTTACCTACCTACACACAGCTACGCTTTTCCACCACTGATTGGGCTAGCGAAACGGAACCAGACTAGGGCCGACTATTGCAGACAACTTTCCACCATTCGGAACTAGCCCACATACCTTAACTATGAAACAGTAAACTGATGGAAACCACGCTTGTCTTAAGAGGAAAATTAAACAGCCAGCCATTTGACACCGTTTCTCATTCCACGCTACTACAAGACATTGCGGCATCATCTCTCTCACCCAACAGTCGTTAGTACTTTTTCGAGGTCAAAACGCGAAGCCTTGAAGAATTAAATAAACGGCCTTCCAGGGTGGTGTCCTTTCTCCTATATTGTTTAACTTCCACATTTCGAAGCTGCTTCAGGCAGCCGATGGGCTTACATTCATCTTTTACGCAGAAGATATATTTACATATATTGGCATCGCTGCTTGAAAGTAGGCGGACATCTCTCTGATGCACGGGATCTTACTCTCTCCACCTTGTCGACCCTTTAACCAGCTGGACGAAGAGGTGAAAAACTGCAATTTATCACCCACGTCGATGGCACACTGATTCCGACGATTAATAACCAAAAAATTGTAGGGGTCCATAAGTACAGAGCCGCAACAAGGCCATCGCCGGCAGCGCTTAGCGTAAAGACAAAGCAGTTGGCCATCCGATTCTAAATTATGCTGCGCCTGCTTGGTCACCGTCAGCTAACACCCCTTTTCCTTAGATGAGTGATTCTCGAGCTTAACAAAAGAAATTGACATTATTAATATACAGTGAAACCTCGATATCACGAACCTTGGTAAGGCGAGAAACTCAATACTACAAAATTTTTTACTACTGAGTCTCTGAAAAAACTTTTCTGTTGCGAAATTTCCTGTACAAAAATGCTCCATAGATATGACGAAGAAATTTTGAACATGAAAATCTTCGGAATATATTCACGGTTAAAGTCCCGTTAGTAATATCTTCTATATAGTAGTATAGTAGTACATGGCGAATTCTGAATACGTTGACCGTTATAAAAAAATGAAACTATACTTGTAACACATTTTTTCCAAAATTTTGCATCGTTCCTTGTATCAAGGTTTTGGTGTTCTATATTTATAACGAAGCATTTCTTCAACTTCGTTATACCGAGATTTCACTGTAGTAGAAAAGAATAAAGTCGATAGGTTCGCTGGAAAATAATACTTGGTGTATTCACAACGGTGTCGTAAGCGTTTTAAACGCCTAAAAAATATATTAAGAGGATTCGCAAAGTACCATCAAAGTCATATTATGAATTTTCGCAGTGTTAAAAAATAGTTGGTTGTGGTTTCAAGTTCTCTAAACATTTATATAAGCTTTTAAAGTTTACGTGTTACAACAATACGACTGTGAATCCCTCAACCATTTATATCCCTCTTAAGCTAAACCAGCAAAAGGTTATAATTTTCGTTAGCCAATGAGAAAACATTCGTAATTTACTTAGACATTTAATTCTTTATTTTGTGAGCTATTTTCAAACCGAACTCCTTGCCCTCGGCGGCAAGTCAGGATATTGTTGCAAAAGTTCGACTTCCTATCAGCTTTCATTTTAATTCATTTATTTAGCTAATATCTACGCCAGCGCCTACCTCAAAATACGAGTAACTACGTCATCTCATTTAAGAAGTTATTTGCACGCTTAACGCCCGCGCGCAATAAGGAACCTTTCACAACCGTGGCCACGTTTTTGTACACGCATGCATACATCTATTATGCACATACTTTGGCATACGCTTCATGTGGTTTGGTGGACACACTTTTGGGAAATTTCAGCACTAGTGACGTCAACTGCGTCGGTGGTTATATCCCATTGTGCTGATTAAGAAGCTTATGTGAAGAAGTGGTCAATCAAGTACAATACAGACCTGTGTATGTTTGTATGTATAATATCACAATATTGAAAGTAGTGACGTTGTTTTGTAATGTTTATGCTGCCTCTCTGACTATTGCGTACTATAATTTGCTTTTAGTGTGACGTGGCACACAACTAAAACTATGTAGTCTGCCTGTTATAACAGATTTAGTACCTAACACTTTTGCGTAGTTTAAAAATATGCAAAACAGGAACGATTTTCGGTTATATTTAGCAACGCACAATGTTGTTTTTGAGAGGTGTGGGACTAGAGTTTAATCAAAAGGAGTGTTCGATAAATGAAGTTTTTTTTTATTCGAAAATAGCTTAACGTCACGATTAGTAGATTAGGTTAGGTTAAAATGGCTGCCTGCGTCCAATGTAGGAGTGAGGCACACTTAGGCCCAGTCTGCCCATTGTCATTCCGATTGAAAGCTCGTATTCGATCCCGTCCGTTCAACTAGAAGTAAGTACAAGCAGTTGGTAAGGTTAATAAATCGGGAGAATTAATGAATGCCTGCTTCGCGTAGGCCCACCAGACAGACAAAGTGGTGATGGGTAAATGAGCGTATTCTCGCCCACGAGAGAGCAGGGTAGTGACATAGGTAGTGTTCCATACTCTCAATATATTCCTCGTATTATAATTCTGGTCACTTGCCTAAGTAGAAGGCGTTTTAATCGAGTGAATGTATCGAATATTTTCCAAGTTTATTTGCCTTCTCGGCGAAATGTGTTTTAATGTGGTTACTTAAGGCAGATTAAAGTCCAGCGGTCATAAAATAGGCTTTAACTTGGCTTATAGAGTCTTAAGCCAAAGTGCAGAGTCTTTTATGGCCGCTGTAGAGCATTGGTGGGAGTAGTTGGCAGCGCTCCTGTGACTTACATGCATGTCGCCTTTTGAACCTTGGCGAGCTTATTTAGTGATATGCACTATGTAAGGCTTAAGACACCATTTCTTGCCTATAGCCGTTTCGCTGGAGTAAAGAGCAGCAATGATCTTTCTTGCCCGCTTCTCTACGTAGCGTTGACAGGTCCGTTTCCTGGCGAAGTTTTACGCAGTTTAATATTCGAAGTTTAAATAAGAGAATTTTAGTTTTCTTTTTAATGAAAACCGGTTGGAATTCAGTCCGCATTCCTCCGACCAGGTTCCCACGATACTCAATGCGTTCTACAGCAGTTCGACCAGTACTTGATGGTTTTTGGAAGTTGCAGTTAGGGCACCCAACTCCGAATGAATAATTCTCCGATTGAGGGGAAAACAGAGGTCCAGCCCAATTTGGAGCAGTGACTCTGCGATCGATTTTGGGAGGACATTATCAAAGGCTCCTTCTATATCTGGTAAAATACCGAATGTTATTTTTTGGGTGACAAGGATTTCTCGACATCGAAAAAGTTTTTATGGGGTTGCGGTTTCCTCAGATTTACCTGTAGAAAAGACGCGCTTGCTGTCAGATAGCTCGTTTGGATAAATCTTTTGCCGAATAATATTCTCTCCCGGATTTTTATAAAGAAAGAAGAAAGGCTGATCACTAGAAAATTATTAGGCTTCATGTGGGACGCTCTGCCACTCTTTGGTATGAAGACGACCTGCGCATCAATGCTTTTCGTATGTACCCTAAATTATTAAAATGCCTTGCAGATCACAGTTAGATTAGGACATAATATGTGAATAGCGTGGATGGGAGCAGCTCAATTTAATTTTTTCAAGAGTTTTTAAAAACAGCACACGAACCTTTTATTTATTAGCAAATGCCTTGATGCCTAAGCAATACATATCAAAGAACTAGATTTCTAAGCGAAGCGCACGAGAATAGCTGACAGTCGCCTCACATCTTTGGCATCACGATTAAGTATTTTGTTGTTACCAGCACCAAATTACTGTGAAATTTTATAGAGACAAAAAAAAATTCCATTGCCCCTCTCTTTTGCGAAGTTGGGCCAGTTGTAGTACATCCCGAATTCAGACAGATCCTTCTGCATATGCTCCGTCCATTGCGATCGTGGGCGCCCTTGCTTTCGTTGTTCAGCCTTAGATGTTCTGTAAATGATAAGATCATTTCATTACCGTAAGTAATCTTTGTATTTTTATGCGCTTAACTATGGCCATGTCGTTAAAAAGCTCGTAGAATGCGTCATCCTTTTTACTTCGGTACCCGTCGCCAACGTGAACAGGGTTCTTTAGGAAGTCCCAAAAGCCTTCACATTTTCGTGCGGTATCCGGTGCGCGTCTCGTCATATAAAAGAAGCGGCATGTTATGCTTAGTAAGTCGAGGTTATTCGTTCATTTTCTTGATAGGGCACACAGTTCAAAGAGCAAGTGCATCAGCATACAATACACAATATTGGCATGAATCGGTCGGCGATATGTCGAATTTATGTAGGTGACTTCTTAGCCTGCAATGCATTGTTGTCTGGTTCCAGTGTCTTTATCCGCTCACTCTTTTCTCTTTCCTAAGCTCGTTTATGATAGGGTGTACCCCTTTTAGTACAAATAGCCCATACATTACTGATATTATTACTACAGTCTTCCTATTCTTATTTCCTTCTATGACTTGTAGCCAGGTACTTAACTAACGTGACGTTATTGCAATGTTACCTATCCAATTAGGTGCTTATCGAGCTGCAGTGATTTTCCTCGAAAATTGTTATCAACAAATAATAAATGTCCATCAATGAAAACCTTTCACCACATTTTACACACAGTTAAAAATCAATGAACCATTTAAAATCAAATAGAGGCTAGACATTTACATATATTGGGCGCATTAATGGCTTTTAAATTATCGTTTATTTATAAAATATATTCCATGTGCGATTATTCAAACAGTTTGCAAAATGACTTTGTCGCAAATACTTTCTATATCAAGTTTGCTACTCGGATTTTCGTTGCGTACATCTGTTTCTATATCCATGATTAAATTTACAAATATAAAATGTACAACGCTCGACAAGTCGTTTGCCGATTTTCGTTATTGCAAACTCAAGGCATTGGCCAGAGATAGTGTTGCGCTTTCGTTGCGAATTGATATCTTTGAAGCGTCAGTGAATAATGTGACGGTAAGTGGAAAAGGTTTGTATTTTTTTGTACTAAAACAAGGCAACTTTTTGAGCCGAGCATTATTAAGTCCATTCTAGAAGCTGCACATTTTCTATTATGTTGTCTAATTTTTTGAAAAGTTTCATAACACAGCTATGTACATACTTGTCTACTCCGCAGGTACATGTGCAAACCTTCAAACGATTTAATGGCTATCGTCCCTTTCTTTTCAATATAACAACGAATTTTTGTGACTTTATGCGGCATAAGACGCGTTTCAAATTTTTGGACATGATTTTTAAGATTTTAAATTCATATTCAAATATCAATCATAGCTGTCCTTATACTGTAAGTAAAAAAATCTGTATGTGGCTTATCATTCTTGCTTCTATTTACTATTTCAGCATGACATTATAATCGATAAGTTAATTTTGACACCGGAGTATTTTCCCCTTCTTCCAATGCCATCGGGAGAATATCGCATAAATTTTGGAGTTGACGTCTATAATGATCCGAAAGCGATTGTATATATCTACGTTCTAATCTTAGATTAAATGGGTATGCAATTTTAAGGGAATGATAAATATACCGAATTATTTTCATTCAAAATACATACTGTCTTTTGAGCTGATAGACCCAAAAAATTATATGCATATGCATCAATTTGCATCAAAATTTTAGTGCCGTAGTTTTTGAAGAGATTCTGCCTTTTGTCGATGCCTTTGCAAAACCCTACACTCCAGGCATCGATCTTTATACATAAAAATCGTAACTAAATAACGTAGAAAATCCGGTTTTCCCAACTGATCGATGGGCGGTTTTGCAAAAGCATCGACGATATGCGTTCAGAATGATTTAATTTCAAAGCTAAAATTAAAGGCGAAGTTTGTTTGATCTTTCGGGATTTTCGAGACTTCTCGGAATCTTTTCGGACCGATAATTTTGTTTTGACTTTCAGGATTTTTTTGGTCTTCTATTTCTACCTTAAAATTAATAAATTGTTTTGCTCAAAATAGCACAAATACTTTAGAAAGGTTTCCGTTGTTCTGAAACCAAATCCGAGTCATAATTTTTCTGGTAGCTCAGGGCGATTTTGGCCTTTATTTGATGTTAGGTAGCTTCGCGATTACTTCTACTTAAAGTACAAATCTTCTTCTTTCGAAAGCCGCTGAGTTTGCCTCTATATCTTTTTTTGAATATTTTACCGAACTCAGCCGAACCCAGAGTCACGAAACGAGGAGATGGTACTCATGCAGCTAGAATGCTTAAAGCTTTTCGATGAGTATGCAATAACTTTGAAACATTTTGCAAAAACATACATATATTAATTAATTTTAGTTTTTAAATTGGCAGACAATTTACTTTACAAGACTAACTATATATTTTTAAACCCTGGAGATAAATTTATCCAAATGTATAGATGGCTGGTTTTTAACTAAAAATATTTCAATGTTCAAAAAAACTTTTTTTAGAAAAGTTGGCGACCCTTAAATGCATATTCATATCTTTTAACTGAATAACTTGTACTCGTCACCCAAATTGAAATATCTTGTAAAATTTATTGTTATTTGTATTGTATTGTATTGTATTTGTATTGTTAAAATTTTTCTAAATTTAACTTTGGCTAATTACCTTTTAATTGATAATATAATAATTTACAAAACTTACTATTTTTACACTTTTGAGAGATGGCATGTACTAGGGTGTTCAATTATTCGCATTTTTTTCAAACCCGGTTTTCCAGTTATTCGAAAAATGTCAACTAAAAAAAAACGGTTCCCAATTAGGAAATTAAGAAAAAACTGAATAAACCGGTTTTATTTTACAAAGGTAGTATGTGAAAAAAATTCACATTCGGTCTTAATTGAACTTTTCTCTGATTTAAGTAGCACTCTTTTGTAATGAATTTAAATATGTTCACATGTACTAAAAAATCTCGGTTTATTCGATTACCAAAATCCGGTTTATTCGATATCCGGGTTAATCGCCCTAGTATACACATATAAGCTCTCTTTAAAACCCCCTGCTATAAGAATTGATAAATTCCCACAGGAAAATGGCCCAGGGTGTTTCAGGCTGAAATATTCGCAATCTGAAACTGTGCAAAATGAAAACTTTGAGAAGGGTTTGAATGGCGCTTTTCTAGTTTTGTTTACAGGTAGCCAAATAGTTATCCGGGCCCTTTCAAACAGGACGACGACATCCAAGCTGGTTAGAGACTGCTTTGACACGCTGACAAATTTTGGCAGCTAAAACACGGTAAAATTTTGCTGGGTACCAAGACCGTGTTGGAATCGAATAAAATGAGGTTTGTGTTGTCTAAGTTAAAATCGCGATCTAAATTAAAATCTTTTATGTGAAACAACTTTTATGTGTAAAGCACGCAAATTAAATGGCGGGAGTTGAGCTGTCAAAATAACTGTCAAACAGTTCTTCGAAAGTTCGAATTTCCTGCTCCCAAATTTTCGGGGAATATGCTGCTCCCTGGCAGTTTCGAATAGGAGTATTTCATTCTCGAGAAAAGTAAAATCCGCGAGAAATGAAATCCTCGGGAATATTCAGAATTGGGCTGAATATGTCTTCATACCAAATTTGACAAGGGATGACGGAAAATCGTTCCACATTACATCACAAATAATATTCTCCATCAATACTTCCACATATTTGCCACGCTCGGCCACTTTATGCTCCATAACCATAACTGTCCGCCTGCCTGTTTAATATATACCAGTGATTCCCAAAGTGTTCTAGGTGGACCCCCAGGGGTCCATGGGAGACTCGATGGTGGTCTAAGTTGGCGTATAAAAAATATGAGTTGTAAGTGGGGGTCAACGAAAATGTATCTTGTTTCGATAGTAAAGAACCAAAATGGTTGCTTGATAGCCTCTTTATTTAACTTTAATTTTTTTGAGTGGTATAGAGTGCTCTTGACGCACTGCTGCACTTACCGTAACTTTGTGCTTTCATACGTGGGAAAGCCTTAAAGGCCACCTGCAGACTAAAAAGAACTGGATGTCGGTATAACAGTGAGTGGGGCGCGGCGAATATTGCTGGCGGCAGAGTTTTAAGCACTTGTTAAATTTTCAATGCTACAGGATAGTACGTCTCCATTACCTTTGTTGAAGAGATTCTATAATGTTGAGTTCCCTGAGACTGAATGCTGGTTTAATTCCACAACCGAGACCGGATTCACAATTTGTCGAATCTTCACTAATGGCTCCAAAACCGACTCTGCGTCATGATCTGGGGTCTTTTTCGAATTTAATGGGGATAAGCTTCACTTTTCTGTCGGGGAATATGCTTCGGTCTTCCAAGCTGAGGTATTTGCAATCCTCAAAGCCTTGGACTACGTGGTGGAACATAGGTGGGGGGGAAGGAGTTTACGTGTCTGCTATGACAACCAAGCTGCACTTAAGGCATTGGCCAGCCCTCTAACTACTTCCAAACTAGTTCGAAAATGCAAGTTTCTACCAAATTATGGTGGTATACATAACGAGCTTGCTTTACTCTGGGTGCCAGATCACCCGGGAGTACCAGTAGACATCTGACCATTCGACCAGAATTGGCTCAGAACAGATATTCCTCGGTCTGCAACCAGTTTTAGCACACCTACTTCGCTCAGCAATGACTGGGACGCATCGAGGGGATGCAGGTGGGCATAACCAATGTTGCCTTCAATCTCAGAAGGTCTTTCTAGTTCTTTGCTCTCACTGAGCAGAAAACATTCCATACAACTTGTTGGACTGCTGACTGGTCACTTCACGTGGCACAAACATCTGACTGTAATAGGCGTAAACGACAACTACATTTGCTCATCCTGCCTTGAAGAGGATGAGACGGTGGAACACTTTTTGTGCTTCTTGCTTGCTTGGTTGTTTGTCATCGAATTTTCTAGACTCGTTCTCTTCTCTATTGCCAGTTTCTGAATTAAAAGTTTGCCGCAAAAAGCTTAGCCGTTTTGTTGTTTCAAGTTTTGTGATTTAAAAATGTGAGTGTCAAATATTTTTAGCCTCACTTTAAAACTCGGAGCGATAGAAATAAAAATGATGCACAAATAAACAATTTTACAAATAGTCCACGTACAAAGTCATGAGTGACCCGAACATTTGATGAGTTTATGGTGAAGATAATGTAAATAACGCTAGGGCTCGAAGTGCTATTAAAAAATATAATTCCTCAGAGCGAAAAGTATTTTGATGGATTTACGAGCTCTATTTTTATAACCTGCAAGTGTGTAATCACATTATTTTAATAAATAGAAATAAAAAATAATAGAAATAAAATATTTTAGTTTTATTTTGGCCACTCCGAGTTTAGTTTTTGAATTCACCCGTGCAATACCCATGCACAAATTGTATCTAATTCATAAGAATGAGAATATTGGTTTTCATTTTCAATAATTATAATACCAAAATTCAGTGTCGACTTTTGTCCAGCTAGCTTGTTCTATTCGAATCACTGTGCCGCGATACAAATTTACATAGTTATATCTAAGCTTCACATTTCATCTTTTTACGAGCTTTGGGAATATTTAGAAATGTATCAGCAGGGGGTCCACCGAAGCCAGTATACTAGAAAAAAAGTTTGGGAACCTCTGCCATATACTCATCTCTGCCTGATTCGCAGCTTTGGTGTCGCTGTCCGCATTCGTAATCATTAATTCCAATGAATTCCGCTCAATTATCAGGCATAAGGCGTCGTTAATTGACTTGTGCACCATTAGTTAACTTATGTGACTCTTTATTAGAAGGCAGAAATGTTAAATGCGGCATGCAGACTGTTTTGCTATTGCACTTCGTGGCGAAATGCAAACGACATATATATATATGGATGCATATGTACGCACTGGTAATACAAACGAAAATAAAAGATTCTCTACGCGCCGCACAGTGGAGTAATTGAAAAAATTAACTTCAAAATATAAAGAAGTTTTTAGTACCATATGAGAGTAGATAAAATTCTTCATAACCATGTAATCAAATATTTGCCAAAAAAATTTACGGGTTTCTTGAAATATACTCTTAAAGTCGTCGCTTTTTCCTTTTTATGCGCGCAACGTGATAAAAGTGATTTGTTACTTCATATTTCCAAGCTATTTCTAAGTTTTTTTTAAAGATAAATCAAAATCGGCAATGTAACCTTCTGACTCAGGTATTTAGGCAATACAAAGTGATTTTATTTTCCTTTTACTATGGTACCAAGTATTTTATTTTTTAATGGAAGGATTATAAACCAGGGGTTTTTGATAGTTGTGAAGTATGTGGGATCAAGCAAAAATGTTTTCATTTACATATACCTTGGAGTTTATAGTTTCATTCTGTAAAAAAAAAAGTTGCGGAATGTCTGCGCACTTTTTCAGTATATCAATTTATATAACATAACCGGGTTAGTGAAATATACACGAAATTCTCGAAGTAGAACAAAACCAAATATAACAAGTGCAAGCTAAGTACAGTAAAACCCGCTTAAGTACCTAACCGGCATAAGTAACCAACATTTTTGCGCAATGTGAATTTTTGAATGTAATCTGAGGAAAATCCCTATCTTAAGTACC